GTGTTGCCTCTGATTTAATAACCTTGTGAGATTTATACTGGGCTGCTAAACTGTAAACTGGGTAACACTGTGTTGAGTTGCGCTATTGAGTTGTTCCTGCTCTCTGAGTTAACGAGTTATAACTCAGCGGTTAATGAGTTATAAGTCATTGATTAAAGTGGACTAAAGCTTTACAAGATCCCAGACCGGAATTTTAACATCTAAAAAAAGGTGATCAACATTTTTGATTTTTTTGCATAAAAGACTCAGTTTGCCAGTATCTTACAGTAAACCGTTGAAAAAAAAAACCGGCGTTCCTGTTTAGAGAGAATTTTGTTCAGAAATATTGACCTAAAAGTGAAGACCCCCAGTTTCCAAGAATTTTCCAAATAAATGATTTAGACTCGCTTTTCTGTTCGGGGAAACATTTTTGGAAAAAAAACCCAGAAAACATTATCTATTAAGATTTTGTCCAAAATTCGAAGGTGCAAAAGATTTTCCAACAAGTTTTGCAAAGCTGTTAAGGAGGAGGGAATTCCAATCAAATTTAATATATAATTTTTCACAGAACATACCTGAAGATTGTCAGTATTGTCAAGTCAAATTAAAAATAATGCGTTTTTTGCGTGGAAATAATTGCTTAATGAAACACTTTACTAAAACTGAAGACCTGAAATTTTAAAGCAAATTCAACATCTTTAGAGCGATAAGAGTGGCGAAGTTCACACACATATTTTTTGCAAATTTTTGCTCTGGTCGTTTTTTCAAGATAATCTTAATTACTTTCGGTAAAAAACTGAATTGTGCCAAATTTGAAGCTGAAAAAGGATCTCTAAAGTTCCCTGCAAAGCGATGAATGCGGCGAATTTAAAGCTTAAAACGATTTGGTATGTTTCCAATAAAAAAGCACAATTCTAGGTGTTATTTTGAATGAGATGATAAGACTTACAAGCTGACAAAGTACCCAGTACCATTGTAAAATGAGTGCAAAATTTTCCAACTTACTTACATTGAATAGAGGAATAGATTGATAGAAGTCGTCATTGGAAAGTGTATCTTCAGCAATAAGAATTTTAGACTAAAATACTAAAGACTCTTAAAAGTCTTTGAATGCCATACATATTTGAAAACTTATTGAGGTATTCGATTGTAATTTAAAAAATCGGACTCTGATGACGTGCATTTGTTTTTGTGTTGATTATTTAAAAAATATTAAAATCGAACTACGGAAACCTAAAACTAATTGCATCACCAATCTCTTTCGCAAAAACAGTTTAAACTACAAACTTAATTTTCCAACTTACCAAACGATACCCTGAGCTCCAGATCCAATGGGTTTGAGGTTTTGGTATCTCTTGAGAATTGTGAATTTGGTGTCTCCCACCTCAACGGTGTAGAATTGGGAAAGACGCGACATCTTATTGCGCCACTCCCAGTAGTTCTGGGCCGATGTCTGCGAACAAAACCTCGTGCTGAAAAGCGGTTTTATTTTGTGAATATAAAGGAAAATTGGTCTTTTAGTGAACGCTTGGGTTAGTTTCAAACTCGGCAAAACAAGCTCTATATCGGGGTAGCATAGAAGACGTTGATTTACACATATACCACCTCTTTTCGAAGTCTTCACTTCTATTAAGACTACATATAGCTGAAAGGCCATAATTAGAAGTGGAAAAACGCGGAGCAGCACTGATATTCCCGGTCAGGACAGGTTTAAAATTAGCTGAAAAATACTTAAAACGTTGATAAAACTCAACTTTTCCTACTAGGTATTTTGGCGAGATGTAATTTTCCGTAAAAGGCAAAACGTTTACCAGTGCCCAAAACCCAAACCAATTTTTTTATATCAAAGGCGTGTCCTTAAACTTAATTGTCAGCAAAAGATTCCTAGTGAATTGAGATATATTTTTAATAATAATAATACACTACAAAGCTTACTGCTTTATTTCAAACATATTACCTTTTGACGATTAAATATCAAAACATGTAACTGATATTAGAGAAACTTATTAAATGTCACAAGCAACGATGAAATCAAACAAGTGTGAAATTTAAACTCAGTTTTAATAACAGATTCACAAACTATACCAAAAACTAAGGAACTTTTATCTGAAACATTTATTTTGTTTTTATTCAAGCAACATGGTGTTCGACACTCCACAAAAACAAATATTTTTCAAGCATTTGCAATTGCGATTCGCTCATTAAGATTGTGGTAAAAAGTGTAACTCTCTTGGCCCAAACACTTGAAAATGTTGTTAAGATTTAATTTGCATTATATTTAAAGGATATTTTACTACGTTTCCAGAGGGTCATTTTACCATGCGTGTAATTTGAAATGTTAAATCAATGTTATCAAAATCAAACAAGTTCCACAACAAACAATGTTAATTTTTATCATAAATGTGAACAAGATCGAGTTGCCTCCTTTCATCCCTTTTCTTCAATCTTAAAGCTGAGGTCGTGAAGATCACTTTATAACAACTGCAATATTAATTAAAAATATCTTAGATATTAAGTTTTTTTTTAATTATCGCGCTCTTAAAATACATATTTAATAAACGGCAACTGATAAATATCAATCGCTCGGTAAAATTTATTAAACAAGATAGAAAATATGATTGTATCAAATGGTCGCTGATTCATAGTCGGTTTGAAGCCAATCAAAGCAGCTGCTTCTGGTGGAAAGCTTTCATCCAATTATATGCCTGTTTATCTGAACAGATTCATTCAAAATTGACGTGATTATTCTGCAAAGGTTGTTAGAGTCTAGTTCTAAGAGAGTATTTATTTTGGAAGACAGTTCAACGTGCAACTTCAACAGCATTATAGATTATATAAACGGATTATAAGTCACAAGTGGAAAGTAATGAAAAGTCCATCTAAATATTCAAAAACAAAGCAGAACACCATCATAAAATATGTATTTATGGTTTGATTTTTTGAAAATTTTCTGGATGATAGAACAATAAAAAATGTACCTTAGGCACCACAAGTTTGTTACAAATACCAGGGTAAATGTTAAGTCGCGAAATTTGAAAAACTGACTACCAGAATTGATATTAATAATTCTGTAACAAAACGAAATATAACCATGTCGAAGCTTCGATCGATTTAGTATCTCCTCAAGGAAAGTAAACTTTATGCATGTTCAACGTTGTTATACATTTTAAATTTTCGAAAATTCCATTTAAAAACTGCTCACTAATGTAACATTTACATTATACTGAAATTAAAGTGTTTGTCAACAAATATCTGCCTGGATACATGCCGTTGTGAATTTTTACGGAAAATTGTGACGATCGTAAATTTTCGATATTAATTGTTCATTCAAATGATCATTGAAATCAAAGGTTCGACTCACTCAGAAGCATCAGTAGACTTTCGAGGCTCTTTCAACAGTCAGAAAATAATTCTTTACCACGACTGCTGTTTCTTAACTGCTGTTGAAAGTGCATCCTCAAAGAATAATATCTTCTGGAACTAAATTTAATGTGTATTTTTTACATTTCTTTCGTATTCGCCACGGTAAGCTCTAGTAGCCACTTAAAAGAAATGACTGGCTGATTTAAACTCGCCCTCCATAATAACACACATCGCGACAAAATGAAGTGAGCACCAGTAGATATTCTCAAAAGCAGAGATAATAATTCAAGTAGAGAAGTGATACATAATGAGCAAATATTGTTGGTCTAGACTCGAATTTTCCCCCGAGAACATTAGCTGCCTTGTAACAGAACAATGGCATCAGAACATTTTGTGCGGCATTATCAAAGCCGTCAATAGCACATCTCGAGAAATGTGAATCCTACTTACATCAAATGCCTGGTAAAAGGCCGTTTAGGTCTACATGTTTGCACACTCTTGAACTGGAAGATGAACAAAGATCAGCAAAGAAAAATGAGAGGAAACAACATAAGAAATCTGTTTGTGAGCCTCGGGCAAGAATTATTGTCTTTTCCCAGTACTCCTAAAACATCCCCCTATAAGTGACGCGAATTTTGAATCATCCTCGCACATTAAAACAATTTAAGTCTGATTATAGTTCGCTCTGCTTTAAAAAGATGTATTGTTGTATGCTTTACGATGTTAATGCTGAAAACGATTAGTAGTGGAAAACACGCAATCTCAAATTAGTCTATTTCAATGCAGAAAAATAGAGATCACACTTACCAAGAACGATCCATATTACAGGATTTCAGAATGGCGGTCAAAGTAAAGTTGCCTGAAAATAAAAAACAATCAGATGCATGAACACAAATGTCACCTTAAGGTTTTTTCTATAATCATTTAATATAGACCATTTATTTTGCATACAAATTTTTTGAACCATTTTTATTTATGTAAAATTCTGAAAAACTGTTCGAAGGCCCCCGGTGACTAATTAAAACTATTAGTAGGCATTTTTCAGTGCCATACTTTATTTTTTTCTGCCATCATACAGTCGTAATTGTATCAAATTTGAAATCTACATATTAAGTAAACTTTATAATGCCTGCATTTAAGTTTTGCTATTTAAAATACAAAAAAGATTTGGTGGTAATTCTGCAAAAATTTGATACAGAATGTAAAATTTCGTGAGGTAAAAAATCTGAGGAACGGTAAAGGCACTCAAGCATTTAATGCTTCATCCATCCATTATGCTTGTTTGTCATATCCGAGAGTGGCTGAATGAACACTAGCCAAATCAGTGGATTGAAAAAAACAAACAAATTGAATGGCCACCTAAATCCTCAGATCTTACTACAATAGATTTTCTATTTTGGGACCACCTGACATCTGTATTGTTCAAAAAACCACCTGGCACTATTGAGGAGCTTCGGGGAAACTTTATTCAGGAATGTTGAGCCATCCCTAGAGAGGCACTTAAAACACAGGAAAAAAAGAAAACTGGCTATTTTCATCCGTTTCCAACACACTATCATTTTTAAATAAAAATCTATACGGTAAATTCAGATCCCAAATTCTAGAAAATATTAAAAGCTGAAAATCAAATTTCAACTTTGTCAGTAAGTAATATTTTGAAATGGTCCCGTGTTTGAATGGAAGCACATTGTAATACTTAATCATTGGAAAAGAAAAATTACGATATTTACTTTATATTAAATTACGAAAAATTTTTATATTAAAAAAGTTCTCTTCTACAATATTTTGATGAAAACTCAAAGCGGCAATAATGTTTTTAACAGATAGTTACAGGTAGATAGCATTTGTCAAACTATGACTTAATTTGAAGCTCTTTTCACAAAAAGTACAACAACATCGAATTTGCGAATATGAACTTTCACTTTCTTTGTTTTATGTTTAGCCATGGATACTACAGTTTTTAATAATTAAGAAGTAACAGGTATTTACGTGCGACAATGATGAAAATGTCACTATTTAACTATGTGGCGACGTTTCGACCTTCAATGGGGTCTTTATGTCAATTATGTTTTTACTATTTTTCCAGCAGGTACTCCTTAAACACGCCGAGATTAATGACGCCAATTTGGAATCACCATGTATATTGATTGCAATGTGAGAAAAAGAAAGTGGAAAAAAATGTGCAATATGAAACAATTTGTACAGCGGCGATCGTGCATAATACCGGAGAACACGATACACCTTTACTCTTAGTTACTAACAGTAGAGAACGTGGTACATTTTGTACGGTTGCTATAATTACCACTTTCCACTCACATTATCACACAATCCCAAAATAGAAAAAAATGTCTGTGAAGCTTCACATCTGGAAATCAGATCCGATATAAATTCATATTTATCATATCCTGATAAATTATTTGCGTCGAATCCGAAATATTTAAGATCTAGTTAGGAAGTGGTTGGGTTGATCTCAATGCTGATTTACCGTTTACAGTAAAATCAAT